AGTTTTAGTTTCAGGTAATGAAGATTGCACAATTTATAAGTCAGGAATTTGAAAGCTCTCAAGAAAGAAAAGCACTGTATGTGGTGTAAAATATTAAAATAATACCTGGTTTTGGATTTCATTTAAAACTGTGATAATTATTTTTCCTTTGAGGTTACAGGAGCTATTTTATAGGGAGATAAAGACAAGTTGGATGTGTGGCTATTTGAACTTAGAATATCAGGACCTAATATTATTATTAATCAAAAAGTTGCCAAGTTCCATGAAATTTCCACCTTTATGAATATTAGAGTTGGAAGAATCTCAATTTGTACATTCTTAGGCTGCTTCCACAACATAAGTCGCAGCATAAGAAATGCTGAGTGGCTTAAATTATATAACAAGAAAGGTTTCTTTATACACAATATCAATAAATTACAATATTTAGAAAATAGCAAATAATACTGAACTTAAGTTCTATGTGCCATTATTAGCTCCATTTTAGAGAGGGAGCACAGAGATAATAAAAGTGCAGCTACATGGATGGAACTGGAAGGGCTTATGCTAGGGAAATAAGTCAGAAGGAAGAGATATATGAGATGGTTTCACTTATATGTGAAATATAGAGAAATTGAACAAAGGGTCAGAAAAAAGACAGAACTTGCAATCTGACCATAGATGTGAGGGACAGAAGGGAGGAGGAGGGAGAAGGAGAGAGAGGCATCAAAACATGGGGAAAAAGAGCACAAGAGACTGTGGTTATGGACTAGGGGTACAGTGGTCATGGGGTAACACTAAGGACTACATATGAAATCAAATACTCTACAAAAATGAACAATGATGTAAGAAAATAAATAAATAAATTTAATTTAAAAAAGTGACATAAACTGCCCATTATCTAATATCATTGCTGTATTAATCAATGAGCTTATTAAAACAAGTATACAATGGAACAACATAGAGTTCAACATATACCCACACATATATGGACAGTTTGTTTTAATTATGGTGTAAAGTTAAGTCAGTAGAGATAGTATAGTCTTTTCAAAAAATGATGCTGGAACCATTAGATATCAATATGTAAAACAAATAATTTCAATTTCAATCCATCTAAATTTAAAACCTGATATACAAAAATTCTAAAAACACACAGAAAAGTATATTTGTGACCATAGGCTATGGAAAGATTTCCTAGAGATGACACCAGAAGCATCATCCATAAAATAATGCAAAAAAAATAAGATGAACATATCAAAATTACAAACTTCTGCTCTTTGGAAAAAAGTGAAAGGCGTTATTAATTAGGTGAAAAGAAAATCCACCAATTGGGAGAAAATCTTTGAACAGAAATTTTATTTGATAAAGGACTTGTATTCAGAATACAAATATATAAAGAATTCTCAAAACTCAATAGTAAATCCAACTTAAAATATGAATAGATATTTCATATGAATATGAAATATGTATAATATGAATATGAATATGACTATAAATATGAATAGATGTGGATGGTAACTCTATACACAAAAAGATGTTCAATTAGTTTTAGTCATTAGGGAAATCGAAAGGAAAACTACAGTGAGATACATGCCTATTAGAATAGCTAAATTTGAAAAAACTTACAGGCACTCTTGGCAGGAATACAAAATTGTACAAACCACTTTGGAAAACAGGTAATTTCTTAAAAAGTTAAATACATATACCATTTTATCCAATCATTCCACTCATAGATATTTTTCTAAAGGGAATTAAAACACATGTCCTTTCAAAGACTGAAATACAAATTAATATGGCAGCATCATTTATTTTGTCTGTCAACTATATTTTTGTGCCTGCTATGTGCCAGGTACACGTGGTATAGGAGAGCAATCAAATGGTGAATAAAAAATTACTGGACTAGCTGCAGTCTCAAAACAAAACTTGAAAACATATGCCCATTAACAAATTATAGTATACCTAAATAATGGATTCATCAACTAGACATGACTTTTGATGCACACGACATGGATGAATCTCAGAATAATTATTCTAAGTAAAATAAGAGTAGCTAAAAGAGGGACAGATTACATGATTCTATCGATGAAACATCTAAGGAAGGGCAAACTAATCTACATAAACAGAGAGAAGATCAGTGGTTGCCTAAGGACACAAAAGGATCATAAAGTGGCATGAAGAAACCTTTGGGGATGATAAAATTTTTCATTATTTTGACTATGGTGATGACTTCACAGGTATAGAGAATTATCAAAATATCAGATTATTCACTTTATGTACAGTTGTCTCTTTTTTGTCTATTATACTTCACTAAAATTATTTTTAAAAAGAATTAACTTGCGTGTTCAGATAAAGCCTGTCTATATGAACTAACAAAAATAAGAATAAAAATATGTCCAAAAATAAATTAACTTGCGACATTGGCTTCTTAAATACCTACAACAAAATATGATGCTTTAGCACTTGTCATTGTATATTATGTATGTGTGTTTGTGTGGCACGGGTGGTGGGTGAGGTTATATATTCATATCAGGGAAGGTGTAAACAGATATACAAGAGTCATGCTCATTCTGAGTTTACCAACATATTCTGTGCTAAAAATCATCTCACATAGAAGTATGAACATTTCACCCCAAACAGAATACCATAATCTAATGGAACAGAGTACATATCATTATGCAATTAATGTATAGATAGCCTTATGAAGAAAAGAAAACATATTGCATCCTAGAACTAACACTTATAAAATACTTACAGTAGAAAATAGATGGCATGATGCATAAATTGAATCCATTATATGAAGAAAAAGGTTATTTTATTTTAGGGATCTAACATTATAAAATTAACTAACAGATAAAAAGGTACAAAAATAAAAGTGTGTTATGAGAAACCTAAGATGGTACATATATATAAAAAGTAGACCACTGGTTAGAAGAAGTTATCTATAGTGTATGGCTTAGGGGAAAAATTATGTCAAAATTGAGAATCAGAATACTTTATTAATATATTATCTGTTTGAGGTTTTCAGAAGATTTTTTTTTCTTTTTATTCTCCCTGGTTCAATCCAAACTTTTCTAGTATCAGTGTGAGTGATTAAGTACTAATCCTTGAAAAGCATCTAAACAACAACCCAAGTAGATAAATTTAGAATGAAAGATGTAATTGAGACACATTTATCCAATATCATAAGCTGAAACAGATATGTTTTAAAAGAGTCATAGTTGTTTTAAATCAAATCCAATATTATTTTACCTTTAGAATTTCACCACCAATTAATTTTCCCCTTAATTCGGTGGAAAACCAATCAAGGATCTGAATGGACAATTCTCAAATGGACAATAAACATATGAAAAGACATTCAATCTTACCACTAATCTAAGAGAAACAAATACATACATAATAATAAATTAATTTGGAGATATTCACTAAAAAATGAGACTAGTGATTGCCTTTCAGTGTTTTTTTGAGTTACTTTTAATTTGTTATTTGTGTTTTAATATACTATCTGACTTTTTTCAATTAATACATATATTTTACACAAAATATAAAGTTATTTAAAAACTGTTTCAGTTGTTTGCAGAAAAAAATACAGTCAACAGATCAGAAGAGACTTCAGAAAGAGACCTAATCAATTTAGTTAATACAAGACAATGGTGTTGTTTCAAATAAATGTGAGCAGAAAGATTATCAAATAATGGTACAACAAAAACTAGCTAGCTAGTAAAAACATTCAAAATATCTGGATCCATAACTAATTGCTTACTCCAAAATATCATTTTCTGATGATACAAAGTTTAATGTGTATATGAAGCCACTGAGATCTATAAAAGGTAAGATCATTCATTCAAAAAAGATTTCCATCATTTTGAATGAAAATAATAAGCTGCAGAACAATATTTAAGACATGACCCCATTGATTTAAATCACTGCTTTCATAGTATCTGTTTTGATTTAAATTATGAAATGAAAGCATATACACCCAGTACAGTAAGTTTTCATTCACCATTTTATTGCCATCCTCTACCACATGGACCAAGCACATGGCAGGCACACAAATATATTAGTTGAAAGACATAAGAAATGAATTCTTACACAGTGTTGGTGTGACTGTAAATTTGTATAAATTTTCCAGCGAAAGATTGACAATATGTATCAAAGAATAAAATAAGCATACAATTTATTCCAGCACTCCCATTTCTAGGAATTTATCCCATGACTAATTTTCACAGGTGCATATAGTAGGTGTCCAAGATTAATTTTTTATAACAGGTGAAAAATGTGTATGTTAGTGGAGAGATGCTGCGGGAAGTAGTTGCTATACAACAGATATTTGGTTAAATAAATTAAGGCAAATATTTCTATGGACTATGCATTTATTTTAAAATAAGATATTGATCATCCACCTTATGGAATATGTGATTTCACTATTTTAAAAGTCATAACTGATAAATAAGCATATTAGAAAACATTATGATGGTACATATATAATAGAGTAGATATAAACAGGCAGGTGTGTATGTGCACAAAAAAAATTCTGGAAGGAAATGCTAACAATGGTTATCATTTCATTGTTAAGATTGTGTATTTTTACTATCACTATAATTTTCTATATTTTATTTTTTGTTGACTATGCTTATATACCTTGGCAATCAAAAAATAAAAGAAAAACTTATTTACAAAAAAGAAATAAAAGTACTTCCTAACTTTTAAAAACTATGTGACCAAATTGACAAGGAACCAATCCTATAGTAAAAGATCAATGTAACTTTAATACTTTTCCTCATTTTGAAGTAAGTCATCATATTTTATATTTCAATTTACTATCCATATTATATGAGCAGGTTTAGATAGTGAATGTGATTAATTAGGTTATTTTTCTACATTAGTATCACTGCTGTGTTTTTTTCTGCTTCCACAGAAATATCACTGTATCTTCCAATTAAGTCTTTAAAAAACTATATCCTGTGAATTTTTATTTAAATACAGATAAATTCTTTTCATAAAAATGGGCTAAACATGTTCCTTACCTTTCAATGAAAAGTAAACACTGGTCTTTTTGGTTGTACCAAGGTAGTTGTTCTGTAGCAGAAAAGAATCCTGCAAATAAAAATAGCAGATACCTGTTTTTAAACTTCATTTTGTAAACGTTATTCACATATTACTGGACGTGTAAATCATACTGTAGTATGAGTATAAATTGGTGCCAGATGACGTTATAAGGTATACCCTGGCAGAGGATGCACTTTGATTAGCACGAATTCCCCCTCTATTGCTGCTGTTCGAAGAATTGAAAACTGCTCCACAAAAGTATAAAGCAAACCGTCTGCTGTGAAATAATATTACCTAATATTTGGGTACCCTTTTATTTTTATCTGCAAGGTTGTTAGAATCAGTGAGGGCTACGTAGCAAGTCAGCAGCAAGGTTGGGGTATATTGTATGCTAGCTTAAAAAGAGAAATCTAGTTAAAAAAAAAAAAAAGGTGTAACTGACTCACGTCAACATGGGATCGCATACCTTGTAGCTGAATACAAACCAGGGTTGCCAAACATCACAGACAGCTCTTATTAAAACTGCTACGTGGAGTGTGGAGTGCAATATGCCTGCTTTCTAGCCCCTCCCCCCAGCCAATAAACGACTCCCCCTTTTCTCCAGTGTAGAAATACATGCTCATAGAATATTTAGATAAGATAAAGAGATTTTGAAAAAAAAAATCATCCATAATCACACTACCCGATGATGCCACTTGGAGTATTTTCATCCATTTTTTTTTTTTAAAAAACAGATTTTTGTCAAGAGGCCCCTGACAAATCAAACGGGAATTCAGGATGAGCGGATGGGTAAAGGATACTTCTCGTCCTTTGTGAGGAACTATGGCTAATATTTTTACCTTATATCTAAGCTTTTTTGAATTATAAAACTACAAAGATAAGACTTTTGAGGGTAAAAATAACGTCTACCAGGGATGCGTGTCTCAGCTACCAAGGAACGTCTGGGAAGGTAGGCGGAGCTGGGGGGGAGGGTTGTTGAGTTTGGTTAGTCATTGGGTTTAGGTGACGTCAATCAAATTTTCCTAGCAAATGAAGTACGAGGTAAAGGCACACTGGGAACTAAATTAACGGGAGGTCTGACTGAAAGGGGAGGGGGCTTGCGAACGGTGGAGAGATTTTGGGGTCTCTCACTGCGCCATTCGGCTGCGGCAAGCATCAGTCTGGTGCAGCTGCATCTGGGAGACGCCTCTCATCTCTACTGTCATCCAGGCCTCCGCTGCCACTTGCACCTCTGCGGGATCGCTGCAACCATCCTCGCCCAGCCCTGCCGCTTCTGCTGCCTTCACCGCTGCCAGCTCCACAACCCGGGCGTCAGCCGCCGCCACCGCAGCATCCGTGAGTGTCTTTCTGCCCTTCTCTGGGCGCGCGGTCTCTGCGGTAGTCACCACTTTAAGAGGTTTGCAGGCTTGCAAAATGGCAGAAGCTGATATTAATATGGTCTCGGAACCTGCGGCCCCGGGGGTTGCTGAAGAGGTGATGGCTAGTTCATCTAGTGATTCTGGGGAAGAATCTGACAGCAGTAGCTCTAGCAGCAGCAGCAGCAGCAGTTGCAGCAGCAGCCGCAGCCGCTTATATAGAAAGAAGCGGGCACCTGAGCCTTCCGGCAGGGCGCGGCGTGCCCCATCGGGCAGAAATTTTGTGGATCGACTGCCTCAGGCAGTTAGAAATCGCGTGCAGGCGCTCAGAAATATTCAAGATGAATGCAACAAGGTAGACACCCTGTTCTTAAAGGCAATTCATGATCTTGAAAGAAAATATGCTGAACTCAACAAGCCTCTCTATGACCGGCGATTTAAAATCATCAATGCAGAATATGAACCTACAGAAGAAGAATATGAATGGAATTCAGAGGATGAGGTGTTCAGCAGTGACGAGGAGGTGCAGGAAGACAGCCCGAGTGAAATGCCTGCCTTGGAGGGTGAGGAAGAAGACAACCCTAAAGAAAAACCTCCAGTAAAAGTTGAAGAAAATGAGGTTCTTAAAGAAATCCCTGAGGCAAAGGCTGAAGAACAATCAGAGTCTAAAGATTTTCTGGAAGCAAAGCCTGATGTAGCAGAAGAACCTAAACAAGTCCCCCAAGCAAAGGCAGAAGATAAAGAACAGCCTAAATCAGAGGAGACTGAGCCAAGGGCTGCAGTTAAAAAGGCTCCTAAAAGAGCACCAGAGGTCAGGCCTAAAGAAAGAATGAATCTTAAAAGAGCTCATAAGGGAAAGCCTAAAAGAGAAGATCCTAAAGGCATTCCTAATTATTGGCTGATTGTTTTAAAGAATGTGGACAAGCTTGGTCCCATGATTCAGAAGTATGATGAGCCCATCCTGAGGTTCTTGTCAGATGTTAGCCTGAAGTTTTCAAAACCTGGCCAGCCAATAAGTTACATGTTTGAATTCCATTTTCTGCCCAATCCGTATTTCAGAAATGAGGTGCTGACAAAGACTTACATGATAAAGTCAAAACCAGATCACAATGATCCCTTCTTTTCTTGGGGATGGGAAATTGAAGATTGCAAAGGCTGTAAGATAGATTGGAGAAGAGGAAAGAATGTTACTGTGAAAACCACCCAGAGCCGCACAACTGCTACTGGAGAAATTGAAATCCAACCAAGAGTGGTTCCTAATGCATCATTTTTCAATTTCTTTAGCCCTCCTGAGATTCCTAAGATTGGGAAGCTGGAACCAAGAGAAGATGCCATCCTTGATGAGGACTTTGAAATTGGTCAAATTTTACACGATAACGTCATCCTGAAATCAATCTACTACTATACAGGAGAAGTCCATGGTCCTTATGATTATTATGGAAACAGGAAAAATCGAAAATAAAAAAGAGGCTTCTTGAAAGAATTTTCTAGGATCTCAGAATTCAAGCAGAAGTGAAGCAGGTTTATATAGTCATGGAAATAACCTGTCCTATAACTCTGCCACTAATACTGCTTACTGTATTGTGTTTTTGTAATTTCTTGGTAGTCTATGAAACTGTCCTAAAAGGTGTATAAGTATCAGTTTATCAATGTAGCCTGTTGTGGTGTAATAGTCTAACATATATGTAAACTGCTATTCAGTTATCTTAGCATGTTAGTTTGATGATATAGTGTTGATTTTTGTGAAGTCCTTTTGTCATGTTCCTATTAGAATTTAGCTGTGAAAACTGTTAGAATTGTTAGCTGTGACAAATATTTGCTTGAAAAAAGACAAGTTCTTGAAGTACCAACACAAGTGTTTTTTTTTTCTTCTTTTTCCAACCCAGAAGACTAGGATTTATATCTGCTTGTACTAGCTGTGCCTTCATTACTTTGCTATAGAAATACAGCACTTATATTAACTAGCACAGTATATTGTGAAATTTGGCTGCTTGAAAAAAGATTAGTATACATCTAAGAATGTTCATCAAAACTATACAGGATATGACTGTGAGCTTGTTTATGTGACATAATAGTGTATAAATTTAATCATAATGAAGTTATTATTTACCACTGAGGTGTTAATATGACATGGTGTTTTATAAAAAAAAAAAAAGTTTCCTTATCTTCTACTGTGTAATTATAAGCTAAAATTACTAATCACATTTTCTTCATAATATGTTCTACTTTGCTGTCACTAAAAATCATCACTTTACATAATTTGGTATTTTTTTCATGTTCTTTTATTGCAACCTAAAATAAATAAATGTCAAATAAAATGTATTGTGCTATAAAGATGTGGTGCTTATTATAGGAAAAGAAAATATTGAGGAAGGGTATTTTCAATTTTTTTTTAAATTTTAAATATTTTTCCTTTACTGAGGTAACATTAGTTTCCAACACTGTAAATGATTTCATGGGAACAGGTTCACACATCCTCATATGGTGTGTGTTCCCACCACACTCACATCTCACCATCCAAGCACCTAAAGTAGAAAGGGAAAATTTTTAAAAATAAAGCCATTATTAATACTTTGATTATTTTGCAGATCTTAGCTCTTCTATGGAGACTACACATTAAAGTCATTGAAGAGAAATGGAATAGGAGGTGGAATAAGACAAAGGAGGAGAGTGAGGGGAAAGGAGGAGGGAAGGGGAGGGAAAGGGGAGGAGTATAGAAGAAAAGGTGAGGAGGTAGGGGAGAGGGTGAGGAGGAGGGAGGGGAAGAGAAGGGAGAGAGGAAGAAAGGAGGAGAGGAGGAAGGACAGTAGAAGAGGGTGGAAGTGAAAAATGAAGGAAAAGGGAAGAGGTAAAGGTGAAGAGGGTAGGAGGGAATGAATAAGATGGGAGGGGTGGGGTGGAGAAGAAGAGGGGTCAGGGGTGCCTCACCCAGAAAAGACATCTGTATAAGCTTTCAAAAGTAGAATGGGTAAATGACCCAGGCATACCTTCCGTTTTGACTTTGACCTTTTTTTTTTTCATGGAGGTGACATCATGCTCTCACCTTTTCTGCCCCATGCAGCTGGTTACAGTGTGGTCGGTCAACCCATGGCATACTATAACTAATCAAGTATGCCTGGATTTTTAAGTTGTTATGATTCATTCACTATCAGGAGACAAATTGTTTTTGGCAACACCACTGTTATTTGGTGAGCACCTTTATTTCTGAGGTTTCTGGGTCTGTCACAAATGGGTATGGCAACAGATTTATTTATTTACATGCTAGGTCCAAAAGGAAGACTATTAAAAATATGAGTACTTGGTCCATTGCTGCAGAGTTTCCCAAATCAGATATATACTGTGCTTGGCAGCACAGATTGCCAAAACACTTGAATCTTCATGGAATGCAACATCCTTATTGCATCTTAAAACACCAAAGTATTTCACCTCTTCCCTCTAGACATTTCTCCAATATAAAAGGAATGCATGCCATTATAAAATATTTGCAAAACAGAAGCAGAAACTTGGAAAATTGAAATCACTTAGAAGTACATTACATCTTTGTGGATTGGTATATTTTCTCCCAATTCATCGCTTTGGTATTTTTTTCATGAGTTCTCAACTCAAATCAAAAGGTGAATTCAAGTTGGGTGGGTAAAAGAAAAGTTAACTGGAAAGACAGCTTACTGCTCTTTTCACCTTTTCAATTTATGCCTGTGAGTGTGCATTGGGGAGCGGGGGGTGCTCACCCATTTTTGCTTTGGTAAAGCTAGGATTCTGGAAATGTAGTCTGTGGTAGGGAATCGGCCACCCCAACATGGGGATAGAGCAGAGAGACCATGAGTTTTGCACATTCTTTGGGCTGAATGTTTGTCCATCACATGCCAATGAATGATACCAGAAGGAGCAGTTAATTGGGAATGAAGCTCATGGGCAGAGGGCAGGGGAATGAGAACTTTCCCCTGTATCTTCTTTTTTTTTTTTTTTTAATAATAAATTTTATTGTTATATTCCCCATACAATTGCAGCCCCCCATTCTGACCCCAATCCCTCCCCTCCCGCCCCCGCCCCCAAAAAAGTGTCTCTGGTTCATAGTTTTTTGTTGATTTTGATTTTCACTTTCTTATAGTTATTCATTTTCCTGGTCCCTTATTTAAGTTTTCTAGATTCCTGCTATGAGTGAGACCATCCAGTATTTTTCTTTTTCTTTCTGGCTTATTTCGCTGAGCATGATCCCTTCCAGCGCCATCCATGTTGCTGCAAATTGCATGTGTTTATCTTTTTTGAATGCTGAGTAATATTCCATGGTATATATGTACCACATCTTCTTGATCCAGTCATCTATTTTTGGGCATTTGGGTTGTTTCCAAAGCTTAGCTATTGTAAACAGTGCTGCTATAAACATAGGGGTGCAGGTGTTCTTTGGAATTGATGTTTCTGTGTCCTTTGGGTAAATACCTAGGAGTGGAATTGCTGGATCATATGGAAGCTCTATGTTTAGTAGGTCCAGAAATCTCCACACAGCTCTCCACAGTGGTTGGACCAGTTTGCACTCCCACCAACAGTGCAGAAGAGTTCCTTTTTCTCCACACCCTCGCCAGCATTTGTTGTTGCTAGTTTTTTTAATATGTGCCATTCTCACTGGTGTAAGATGGTATCTCATGGTAGTTTTGATTTGCATTTCCCTGATGGCAAGTGATGTTGAACATTTTTTCATATGCCTGTTGGCCATTTGCATTTCCTCTTCAGAGAAGTTTCTTTTTAGCTCTTCTGCCCATTTTTTGACTGGGTTATTTTCTTTGTTGTTGTTGAGTCTCATCAGCTCTTTGCAGATTTTTGTGATCAGTCCTTTATCATTAGTGTTGGGTGCAAAAATTTCTCCCAGTTGTGGGTTTCTCTTTGTTTTTGTTATTGTCTCTTTTGCTGTGCAGAAGCTCTTTAATTTGATGTAGTCCCAGCTGTTTATCTTTGCCTTCACTATCACTGCTTTGGGTGATGTGTCTGTAAAGATGTCTTTGATGTGCAAATCACGTAGTGTTTCGCCTATATTTCCTTCTATATATTTTATGGTTTCAGGTCTTATGTCTAGTTCTTTAATCCATTTTGAGTTGATTTTTGTGTATGGTGTGAGGTAGTGGTCAAGCTTCATTCTTTTGCATGTAGCGACCCAGTTTTCCCAGCACCTTCTTAAGAGCCTCCTTTTGGTGGCTGTTTCCTTTTGCTGTGATTTGTAGTCCAGACCTGCTTACCCCTTTGCTGCTCCAATCTGACCTAGGAAGTCTTTCCTTCCTCCTCCACTGCAGTCAACTCCACATCTTCCTTTGTGAGTTATTTCCCAAGCTCATTTGGGACTTAAACATCCAGGGTAGTCACTCTTAGACTTCTCTCTTTTCTTTAGTATGACAGACCTAGACAACGAAGGATTTTTACTAAGCAGCATCAGGGACACCTGAAGAGGTAATGAAAGAAATTGTCCAGGTAAGTGAAGAAAGGAACACACAGTCAGATGATGCAAATATTCAGTTCTGTCCAGGTGTAGAAATACTGGTGTCCTTGCCCTTAAAAAGCATCAGGGGTCAAGAAGATGTGGTACATATACACCATGGAATATTACTCAGCATTCAAAAAAGATAAACACATGCAATTTGCAGCAACATGGATGGAGCTGGAAGGGATCATGCTCAGCGAAATAAGCCAGAAAGAAAAAGAAAAATACCGGATGGTCTCTCTCGTAACAGGAATCTAGAAAACCTAAATAAGGGACCAGGAAAAAGAATAACTATAAGAAAGTGAATATCAAAATCAACAAACAACTATGAACCAGAGACACACTTTGGGGGGGCGGGGAAGGAGGGATTGGGGTCAAAATCAGGGGGTTGCAATTGTATGGGGAATATAAAAATAAAAAATAACAAAAAAAATAAATAAATAAAAAAGCTTCAGGGGTCATGTATAAGGCAGAAGCCCAATTTGAAAAGGAATTGTAGACCCTTGGAAAAAATTAAATCCTAGCTAGATGAGGCGTTTCTGTGCACTGACATATGTTTTAAGAAAACTCATTATTTAATAATTTCAACAGAGTTATGCATGACATTAAATTTAATGTTTTGTGTTTTTGTAGTTTGTATTTTTAAAATGTCAAAAATTGAAATATTTAGGCACTGATATACAGCATTTAGAAGTATACTTTTCTTCAAGCATGTAGAACTCAACAAAGTCTCTAAAGCATCTAATTTATTGCTGTGTAGTTTATCCTTATGATGTCCTTTTGTCATATAGCTAGTAGAGAGTAAATGAAATCTATCAGAACTCTTCACTGAAACGAATATTTACTTGGGAAATAAACACACTGAAAAGCCAATCCAGTGTGTGCTCTATCTCCAACTCAGAAGTAGGAAGGGTTTAAATCAATTTGCACCAAGTGTGTTTTCATTATTGTGCTATCAAAATGTGACATTTACTACTTCTAACACACAAACAACAACGTAAACCATCTGCATTATTTTCAATTGAGGTAATGTTGATTTACACTGTTTTGAGTATTTTGGAAGTATAGGGACCTCCCTTCAGGTGTATTTATCATAACACACAGGCTGCAAAAGCACCCATGGTCTACCACCATAGTCCACTGTGCTCCCTCTCCACTTTCTATTCACCCCTCCTTCTCCCTCTCTGGATGCCAAAAAAATTATATTTTCAACTGAAAATTGCAGACACATAATCAACCTTACTCAAAAGATAGGCATTGGACCATTAATTTTGTCCTTTCTACTGTATTCCTAAGTAATTTTTTTACAATAAAGTACAAAACAGGGCCTCCCAGGTGGTGCAGGGGGTTGAGTGCAGCGTTGTGAAGCTGTCCGCGGTCTTTGCAATGAGAGTTCGATTGCCTGCCAGCCGAGGAGCAACCCACATGGCATGGCAAACCTCTCCTGTCTTGTCCACTGTTCCCCTCAGCAGTATGTTTTGGTACATCTTCTTGTTCTTCTCCCCGTTCTCTCTGGTGAGTCTTCTCATCCCATAGCCCCGTGACTCTGGCCTGTACCCCACTTCTTAAAAAAATTTTTTTAAAAAGAAAAAACAAATACAAAACAGAAAAAAAGAACATTTGACCACTACATCATTGAACCTAAAATATTGTTGAAAAATTTATTTGATGGGCCTCCCCTGGTGGCACAGGGGGTTGAGCACAGGGCTGTGAAGCTGCCTGCAGTCTCTACAGTGCAGGTTTGATCCTGGCCAGCCAGCGAGGGTCCCACATGG